AGTGAAGAAAGGAAAGGAAGACTTTGAACTGTCATTATTTGCTGATGATGATGATCATATGATGCACTTCACATAAGATTTCTGCCAAAAGACTTCTAGACTTAATTGACAGATTCTCTAAAGTAGCTCGATAAAAGGTCAACACTTAAAAATCAATAGCCTTCTAGTACACAGACTCTCTGAGAGTGAAATTAGGGAAACAATCCCTTTCACAAAAACATCCCAAAAAATTAAATATCTAGGAATCAATCTAATGAAGGAAACAAAATACCACTACACTGAGAATTACAACACTCTGACAAAAGAGATTGAAGAGGATATAAGACAATGGAAAGACACCCCTTCTTCCTGGGTAATAAGACCCAATATAGTGAAAATGGCATACTTCCAAAACTGATATATAGATTCAATGCAATCCCTATTGAAATCCCAAAAGTATATCTTATAGAACTAGAGAAAACAATCCAAAAATTCACTTGGAACCAGAAGAAACCTAGAATAGCAAAATCATAATCCCCAATTTGAAATTATCCTACACAGCTACTGAGATAAAAGCAGCATGGTGCAGGCAAAGAAACAGATCCAAGGATCAGTGAAATCGTTTAGTAGACGCAGAAGCAACTCCAGACATACTCAGCTATCTCATCTTTGACAAAGAAGCCAACCATCCTCGCTGGAGGAAAGATAGCCTCTTTAATAAATGGTGCTGGAAAAATTGGATTTCAGCTTGCCAAAGATTAAAACTAGACCCCTATCTTTCACCATGCACTAAACTAAAATTCAACTGGATTAATGATCTAACTATAAAAACAGAAACACTAAACTTGCTGCAAGACAAGGTAGGTAGAACTCTTGAAGACACTGTTATAGTAGTAGATTTTATGGACAAATCTTCAGTAGCATGGGGACTAGGACAAAGAATCAACAACTGCAATCTCATCTTTTTGAAAAGCTTCTGCACTACAAGAGAAATCACCAAGAGAGGTAACAGAAAACCTAAAATGTGGGAAAAAAATGTTACCCGCTGTTCCTCAGACAAAGGTCTACTATCCGGAATATATGAAGAACTCAAAAAAATCAGACCTCCCAAATTTGTAAACTCAATTCAAAAACGGGTATCTGAAATAAACAGACATTTCTCAAACAAGGAATTAAAAGCTGCAAATAAACAAATGAGGAAATGTTCAACATCATTGGTCATTCAAGAGATGCAGATGAAGACAACACTGAGATTCCACCTCACCCCACAAAGAATGGCTCCTATCAAGAAATTAATCAATAAAACATGTTGGCAGAGGTGTGGGGAGAAAGATACTCTTCTTCATTGTTGGTGGGAGTGCACACTGGTGCAATCACTGTGGAAATCAATATGGAGATACATCAAGCAACTAGAATTAGAAGTTCCATTTGACATGGCAATTCCCCTGCTGGGTATCTTCCTAAAAGAATTAAAAGAATCATACTGCAGTGATATATATTCACCCGTATTATAGCAGCACAGATTGTAATAGCTAAAACTTGGAAACAGCCTAAGGACCTATCAACTGCACAGTGAATAAAAAAGATGTGTTTTTTTTTATACAATGGATTACTACTCAGCCATAAAGAATGAGAAATTAGAGACTTTTATAGCTAAGTGGAGGCACATTGAGGACATACACTTAAGAGAAATTAATGGGACACACCTTTGTAAACATCAAATACTTTCTCTGGTGTGATAAACTAAAAGTGTAAATATTAATTAAAAAGAATAATTGATAATGTGAAAGAGAAAGAAAAGGTTCAAAGGATGTAGGAGAAATGGGATGGGTACGGGAAATAAAGAAGGGAAAGGAAAAAATATGAGAAAAGGAAAAACTGAAAACAAAGTCTCCATAAATAGGGAAGGGTAGAGGGGGTACAGAGATGGCAGGAGAATGAGGAATAATAAGAATCAAGATAAGAGCCTGGCATGGTAGCGCACTCCTGTAATCCCAGCACTTGGGAGGCTGAGGCAGGAGGATTACTGTGAGTTCAAGACCAGCCTGGGCTACATAGTAAGTTCCAGGTCAGTCTCAACTACACAATGAGAGCCTGTCTCAAAAAGCCAAAAAAACAAAACAAAACAAAACAAAACAAGATATATCATGTAAAGGTATGAGATCCCAATAATGAATGTAACTGTATTGTACACCTAAAATGTACCAATAAAGAAAAAGAAAACCATGTAAGTACCAAAGAAAACAATTATTTCAATGCTGCTTAGCAAATTACCGGAAACGTTATATAAAGTATTAAGAACTATTCATGTAGTATTTCTCAGGGTTTTATACCACATCAAAAGCAAGAAACATTAGTTAGACTAAGAGATTTAAAACATATACATTTCAAATATCACTATTAATTCTTGGAATCCAAAAGGTAACCCCATTCATGACCAGAAACAGAAAGTTTTTGGTTCTATAAACAATATTTTAAGTAAAAAGATAGAGAAGATAATACCTAGCTCTAAAGATTAAAGAGTAGAACCATGAATATTAAGAGAAGAAAACCCAAGTAAGCTTCTTTAAATACATATAAAACCTTAGAATGAAGATGCAGATCTAACAAAGATTTTATTCAAAGTTGGAGGTCAAATACTAAAGAGATTCTCTGCTTTCTTTGATTTTCAGTAATTCAGAATTCAGTCTACATCTATCACAGTCAAACTACTATGTTGGGCATGCATGAGGTCCATAATCAACTTGTAATCCATCTGCAATGAGGTCATATTATTTTTTACTATATTTAGTCAAATAACATAATTGATTCATAGTTTTCTTCCAATAAAAGAAATTTTGGGGTTGAATAAATATTTTTGAAATATTCAGGAATTGAAATTACAAGAAATAAAAAATGAGGAGTATTTCTAGGCTTTATATTCCATGAAATATATATGATTATAGCTGTATGGATAAGCTCTTTCCTTATCAGTATTCTATGGACAGATGTTGAAATAAGAGTGTCTTCAAACACCAATATTTGGCAACATAACTGGAAGGAAGTTCAGATGAATGAAGAAGAAATTGACAAATAAACTGGTTTTCAGCTCTGTTGTGGGTTGAGTATTATTTCACTGCCTAGTGCTGAATTCAAATTTATTTGGAAAGATTTCCATCTGAATAATGTTGGACACTTGGTGACCCAGATGGCGGCACAAATAAATATGAACTGTGTTTCCTCAGTTAAAAAACAAAACAGAACAAGCCAGAGTACAGAATGAGAACCTGGACAAATGAATGTACCAAGACCTTCCCCAGCTCCTCACTGCTCCAAGATAAATCCAAGCCGCTCCCCCAGCCATCTAGGCCCTGTAAGCTGAGCGCTTCACCTTGTCTCCTTTCCTCAGCTACACACCAGAGCTTTTTCATTTCTCAAAGGCACCATGAGACTGCACCTTCAGTCTCCTGGCCTTTGCGCTTACCTTGGTCTGGAACTCTCTTCCCAGTGAATGATCAAAACTCATATGTGACTTTCAGCCTAGATGCCAGTGTCTTAGATTAATGTTTCTTCATCAACCCACCAAACTCAACATTTCCTATTTTGTGGTTCCCAAAACTACCTACGGAGGACTGATTATGACAAAAAATAGTACTGGCATTTGTAAGAATTTACTTTCTTCCATGCACTCCTAGGTATAAGGTAGGCATAAAGGCATTGAAAGGCATCATCATTTGTGACTACCTGATGAGTGTTCATCTCCCTACTGCACTTTACATTTCTTGGGTCTGACACTGTGACATTTGATTAATGCATTCTCTTAACCTCCAGAAGAGTACTGGTTTCAGAACAATGCTAATAGATGAGGTTACTCGCTACTATTTTTATTTTGTTTTCTTTTGTTTTCCTGTTTGAAATCAGTACATGTTTGCAGTCGATGCAATTACTATCATCTAGAGGAGTGGGTCTGTGTACCTAATACAGATTGGTTCATTTTTCATCCTCTTCCCCTTCTCACCCACCCCATCCCTCCTCCTTCCCCATTTGCACTCTTGTTGATATTATTAACCATAGCTCATTGCTATGACAATGATGTTTACATTAATTGATGTTGCTAAGTTCCAACACTTGCCATATTTTATTCTACTTATTCCCCCTTTCCTCACACTCTCCCTTTGCCCTTAGACTCCTGGATCACCTTTCCATTTGCAAGAGGTATAACCTCTTCTCTTCTATCTACCTCTTTATTTTTTGGTACACTTTAGTTATACAATATGCTGATACTCATCATTGGGAATTTGTACTTTTATATGATATATCACAGTTCTTATTTTTCCCATTCCCCTGCCCTCGCTACAGCCTTTCTGCCCTCCCTATTTACAAAAACTTTATTTCCATTTCTTTCCTTTTCTCATATTTATTCCTTTCCCTTCTTTCCTTTCCCATATGCCTCACAACTTCCCTTCTCTTTTGGACTTTTTCTTTCATTTCATATTATTTTATCCATCTTTTATTGTGCTCTTCATTTATACTTTGCCTTACTCAAGGGAGGGACACATATGCTTTGTTTGTTTGCTTTAGTTTGGCTTTTTTCAAAAAAATGAGTTTTTCTCTAATTTAGATTTTTTTTCCCATACTTGGCAAGAAATTCAGGGATTTGCACATGCTAGGCAAGCTCTGTACCACTAAGCTGCATCACCAGTCATTTTCTATTTTCTTTTGAGATTCGGAGTTGCTCAGGTGCCCAGGATGGCCTTCTGCCTCAGCCTCCAATGTAACTGAGATTTAAGGTGTAACCGACTGTGCAGTGGATTTAGAAATGGTTCAATTGCCAAACTCTGCCTGCAAAAGTGTGTCTTTAGGACATAATATCAGACTCAAGTCTCCTCAAGTGTGGTAGTAAAGATGGACAAGGGTAGTTTGGTTAAAGCAAGTAGAATACACTGAAGAGCTCAGTAAGCAAGTGCTTGCCATCCTTTGCCTCAAAGAGAGAATGGGAACTACTCTCTAGTGTCTGGGAGGTGGGCAATGGGTCACCTTACCCATGGAGAAGGGCATAAAAGCTTCACTCTTCTTCAGTGCCCCCTTGGCATCCAGAAAGTGATCAGGGTTGAATGTGTCTGGTTTTTCAAAGCAACATGGGTCATGGAGAGCAGTGGTCAGGACTGTATATATTTCAGTGTTCTGAGGAAAGGTTAGAAGATCAAAAGATATTGTGATGCCCTGGTACCCACATGCAAAAACACAAATTAAAAGATAAAACAAAAGAAAGATGAAACAAGGTTTCCCTGTTGAGAAACCAACAAGAGGTTGAGATGGAGGTTTAGAAAATCAAAGAGGCTGACATAAAGAGGTGGCACCCCAGCTAGGCTCACCTTGGGGATGATGAACCCTCGGAAGTGAGTGTCTTTGGTGACCTTGTGGGGCACACCAATGGGTATCAGGTCCGCAAATCTCTGAATCTCACAGATGACTGCCTCGGTGTATGGCATCTTGGTTCGGTCATCCAAGGCTGGCTGACGATGTGAGCCAATCACCTGTTCAATTTCCTTGTGGACTCTCTCTGCACAGAGAAGGGCACAATAAACCCCACATCATAAAGGCACTCTAGCAATGACATTGTTTTTTGTTTTTTGTTTTTTTTTTTATTTTTTGTTTTTTTACCAATGAGACCAAAAACTCTACAGAAAGGCAGTGGACAATTTATACTCTTGAAGGAATCAGCTGTGTCTGAGGAAAGGAAAATATCAACAAGAACGCTCAGCGTTCAAAATCCAAGGAATATTATAAATTATCTCCCCACATCCACAGTGACAAACACAGAAAAATAGACAAATGACTTTGCATGGAATTTTCCATTAACTGCAAAACTCCTGCTCTAAAATGAAAAAGAAATGAACTAATATTTATTATGTATGCAAGTGGGTCATGCTAGGTCCTAAAATCTATAACAAGAGAATACATCAATAAATAAATCTATGAAAAACTGGATGATAAAATGCATCCATCAATCAATCAATCCTAAATCAATAAATGAAGCATTGATGAATGGATGAGATGAACAAAGCAGTGAATGTATGCATTCAATATATCAATCATACAAGGATCAATAAACCTACTAAGAAATGGTTCATAAACAAATCAATAAACTCCACTAATTGATAATTACCTGAGTGCGAGATGTATAGCTGAATGTGTGAGTGAATAAAGTGGTGAAGGTATGAGTAAATAAATGAATGGATGGAAAGCTTGACTGACAAATCAGACATGTATAAATGAGTTATTAACTGAATAAATGAAGGAGTGATGCATTATTGGAGAACTCCCTGCCCGGTACTAGTGGGCTGTGAGTGGCACATGCTTCTTGCCCTCCATAATTTGGCTCTATTTTTTAATATCAGAGTCCGGCCAAATGTCTGCATGATTCAAATGGGCATGACACCTAGCAGAGATGGGCTAGTATTTCTCCTAACGGCTGTCACTGAGTCCTAAGTCTTGCTCAGTGAAGTGGCAGGGCCCTGCTGAGTTACATGGAGCTGAGTTCAGCATGACCCCACCTATAATCCTTTCCCTGAATTATTTTTTCTCATTGACCTTGTGGATTGCTTGCTCATTGCACCTGGTCCCAGTACCTTTTTCTTCTATGCTAGCAAGATAAGCAGTACCTACATCCTGACAGACATGCCTGGCATCACCATGCCAGGTGTTCAGCAGTAATTCACTAGGCTTCAAAGCTCACTAGCTCCCTTTTCTTTCACACATTTGTATTCAATAAATACAGGATTATTAGGGGCCTTTGTCCTTGCTGCCATGAGCAGCACTGGCCAGGACCCAAGATTCAGCTTCTACACTCTCAGTCTCATTTGTCTCTCTTCTTAATTCACCTTGTGCTGTGGGGGACACAGGCCAGGATCCATGGTAGAGATCCTGATAATGTCCCATTCTCCACTCCCTACATGAGTCCAAAGCCTATAGAGTTCCTGGCCTAAGTGGCCAATGTTATCTCTAGTCCAGGAGAGCCCTACATCCCACCTCTGCAGCCCGAAATGGGGTCACAAGACCTTCCCAACTGGCTGCCGCTCACCAACCTGCGACATGGGGGTATTTGAGCAAAAACAGGAAGCCATAGCGGAGAGTTGTGCTGGTGGTCTCTGTGCCAGCAAAGAAGAGTGTAAGCAAGGTCATGATGAGGTTCTTGTGGTGGAACTCAGTGTGCGGGTCAGACTTGTCCTAGGTCCGGAGCAAGGAGAGAGAAGAGGGTCAGGGGAGATCAAAGCCTTGTGCAGTAAGGGTCACCTGTCCCTATGAGCACCCTCCCTCTGTTCCTGGGACTCACCTATCTGGCTGCTTTGCACATCTCTGTCCTTGGAAACCATATCTCTCTTTCTCCCCACCCCCCACTGTTTCCCACCCTCGGGGTTTCTTTATCCATGTGACTCTGTTCCCACCTCTTCATCTCTTTGCTTGTCTCTCACTTTCAGTCTCACCATTCTCCTCCTGCCTCTGTGGGTCTTTCTCCTATTACTCTTTGTTCTTTCACCCTGACTCTTCCTCCACTAGCCCTTGCCTCTGTTCTCCTTCCCTCCTCATTTCAGTTCCTCCTTCTCATCCCATGACATCTATCATCAGTTCCATTAAATGCAGCTATTTGGGGAATGTCAGAAAATGCAAAGGTTGGGAGGGGAGGCATTCAGAGTTATCAGTTTCTCTTTCTTACCTTCTCCTTCCATGAACTTCATCTTTCTTTCACTTCTGCTTCTCCTCCCTTCCCTTCCCTATTCTCTCCACCCTATCCTCTGTTCTTCTTTCCCCTCTCCTCCTCTTTCCTTTCCTTCTGTTCACCTCCCCTTTCTCCCATCCCATCCCATCTAGTCTCCTAGATCTCACTTTCTCCATGCGGAGCAGGTAGCTATCAATGAAGTCTCTGGGGGCGCTGGGGTCCAGGGTTTCACGGTGTTCCTCCACACTGTGGCCAAGGAAGGTGTTGATTTCCTGCAAATTTTTGCAAATTTCCCTGTGTGTCCCAGGAAAGTGTTTCAGGATGCTGGAGTAGAGCTCAAACACCTGTGAGAAAGAAGGTGACTCAACAGATGAGAGAGCTGGGAAGCTGTCCTGGGCCCAAGACCTGCACAGGGACTCACTATCGCTCATTCTCTCTATCATCTGAGTCTACCTCTGTCCTGCTCTTTCATACAGACCACAAACACACACATGTGCATGCATGCACACGCACACACACACACTTACAAGAGCATTTCTCTACCAGAATCCATCTCTATCCTTTATTTTCTTTTCTCTGTCTTCTCTCTTTTACTCCCTTTTCTCTTCCCCAAGACTTGATTTTCTTTGTTTCTCCCACTTGATTTCTGCACCCACTTCAATCCCTTTCTTTTTCTCTGGTTCCTGGTCCCTGTTCACTGTCTGTCCCACACTTCAGTTCTGTATTTCTGTCACTCTGTGCTGTCTCCACCCTTTTCCAGCCCGAAGTGCATTTATGGGCTCCCCAAAGCAGGCCATCATTCCCCCCACCCCTTGTCTTGGCTGCTCCCTTCATCCCTGTCCTCCTGCTCTCTCTCTCCTGACCTGGGTGGAGAAGGAGCTGAGGAGAGAAAAGGTCCGATAGATCAGGTCCAGAAGCCTCAGAAACTTGCGATCTTTGTAGTCAAAGCGTTTTCCAAAGACAATGGAGCAGATGATGTTGGCAGTGACAGACTGGAAGAGGAACAAGGTGTCCACGAGGCCACCTGGGGGGAAAGGCAGTTGCTAACAGGAAATCAACTTAAGAGCCTGGGGAGCATTTGGCAGCTGTCCTGTCTTGGTGACTGCCATCACTCAGAAATAGAAGAGAAAAATAGCAATAAACACTGACACTCAATAGCCTGTAGTATGTGACAGGCTGTATTCTATGTACTTCAGGTGGTTTTTTTAATTAATTTCCTCCAAAACATTGTAAGGAAGATAGTATTCTATTTTTGTCCCACTTTATAAATGGATGAATGATTAATGGTTAAATGATTTGACCAAGATAGCATAGCTACTCATCACTGGGGCCAGGATTTTGACCAGGAAGCCCACAAACAGAGCCAGCGCTCATGGTCCCTAACATGCATCTCACCCTGGGCTCAAATCCCACTCTGTAAGGGAACAAATTTAAGCCCAAGGACAGAGTGCATGCAGCAGTATCCAACAAATTACTTGTGCAAATTTTAAAAGCCCTGATCACTACTTCATTCTGGTTACTCCCACTTCACCTCTTCTCCATCCTCCAGGGCTTGGCTGAGAAGGAGGGAGTCTCTGAGCCCAAGAATATCAGGTATCTCTCTCTCTCTCTCTCTCTCTCTCTCTCTCTCTCTCTCGCTCTCGCTCTCTCTCTCTCTCTCTCTCTCTCTCTCTCTGAATGTGTCTCTCCTCTCAGTTCACTCTCTCTCTCTCTTTCTCTCTCACCAGTCTATTTTACTGTCCTTTCTTGCACAACTTTTCATGAGACTTGTTCTTCTGTCTCTCTGATTTACTGTCTCAGTTTGTCTCTGTGAGTGTCTTGTCTTTCTTTGTCTTCTGGTTGCTCCATCCATGGCCTTCCTTCCCTCTTTCCTCATATCTGTCTCCATGTCACTCTGCTTCCCCATTATTCTTCTCTCCCTCTCTGTCCCCACTGCTTCTCCCCAGCTTCAAACTCTCCACATGCGATGAAGACCTGGCATGAATGGAAGGATGCTGACCGAGGAGGTGCTAACAAGCAGTGCTATCACCTCTACATCCCTGTCTCAGAGGATCCAAAAGGGACTGAAAATCCCTCCCAAGAGCAGAGCACTCACCTGCCTCTTTCCTCACTGCCTGCTCATCAGCACTTCACTGAGGGAAGACAAACACAGTTCACTATTTTCACCATGTCTGCTATTCCTTTTTTCTCCTTAGCTATCTTTTATATGTGGTTTGTTTCTGCTTTTCACACATACATTTAACACACAAATTGATTTCTCTGGAACCAAATGAATAGCATGCAGTTACTCAGGCTCCTTCTCTGAGTTATTCTGTGACATTGTAAACCTCACAGTTCCTCCCTCACTATCTCTGTTGCTCTGCTCCTTGTCTCACTTCATTTCTACTCCTCTCTCTGTCTCTAGTGCTCTGTCTGTGTCTATTTCTACCCTTCTCTGCCCTTTGTGTATCTCTCTGTGTTTCTGTTGCTGTGCACCTTGCCCCTCTGTCTGCATGTTTGTCATTGTTTCCTA